TATCATGTTCGGGCTACTGCTCATTCCAAATCGTGCTCCCGCTGCACCGCTGGCCTCATTTCTGCGCTTCCGCTTGTTACGAATCGTGCTCCCGCTGCAGCGCTGACGTCATTATTTCCAGCGCCATGCCACGGCATGGTTCTCGGTCCTTCTAAATAAGCCCAGACATGTAGAACATGGCCTCCCGAAGAAATCATCGGAAGATTACACATTCGGTGTCGATCAGTTTTTTTTGTGGGCCGCAGAAGCCCTCCCTCGCTTTAAAGCGCCGCCACGCCATGCTATGTCAGGCTACGCGTCCTCACTTCCGCGATTCCGCGCTTGCTTTTTTCGTGTGTTTCTCATGTTCGGGCTACTGCTCATTCCAAATCGTGCTCCCGCTGCAGCGCTGGCCTCATTTCCGCGCTTCCGCTCGTTCCGAATCGTGCTCCCGCTGCACCGCCGGCATCATTACTTCCAGTGCCATGTCCATGCCACGGCATAGTTTTTGGTCCTTCAAAATGGCCCCAACATAGAGAAATTGGCCTCCCGAAGGAACCATCGGAAGTGATTACACATTCGGTGTCGATTCGTTGATTGCTTGGGCCGCAGAAGCCCCCTCACGTTGGGGCGTCGCCACGCCATGCTATGCCATGCTATGCTCTGATCTTCAACGCCAGGCTATGCCATGTGATACTATGCCATTCGACAACATCCGATTGTGCGAACAGGGCAGAGATCGACGCCGTGGTGCGGGATGGGAGGGAGGGGCAGAACGTCAGATAGGACGTGAGCGCACCTCGCTTGCCCTGCCCCCTTTCCCCCCTCCTCCTCCTCCTCCTCCTCCTCCTCCTCCTTCTCGTCCTCCTCCTCCTCGTCCTCCTCCTTCCGTCCTCCTCCTCCCGCTCCTCCTCCTCCTCCTCCTCCTCCTCCTCCTCGCTCCTCCTCCTCCTCTCCTCTCCCTCCTCCTCCCTCCCTCCCCTCCTCCTCCTCCTCCTCCTCCTCCTGCTCCTCCTGCTCCTCTCTCCATCCTCCTCCTCCTCCTCCTCCTCCTCCTCCTCCTCCTCCTCCTCCTCCTCTCCTCCTCCCCCCTTCCCCCTCCCCCCTCCCCCTCCCCCACCCCCCCCTGGGCTCGGCTCCTCGCCGCCGCCCTCGAGCGCCTGGGGCGGCGGCGGGGCCGCGGGGGAAGCGCGTGAGCATGCAACAGGTGCAGTCGAGAACACAACGGCACAGAGCACAACGCGAGGAAAAGGAGGGGGAGGAGGCGGAGGAGGAGGAGGAGGAGGAGGAGGAGGAGGAGGAGGAGGAGGAGGGGGAAGGAGGAGGGGGAGGAGGAGGAGGAGGACCAGTGGAAACCCAAGAGTCATCAACGATGTTGGAATTCACCCTCCCTCCAAGCTCCCTCTTCATAGGCCCCTACAACGGTTCATTTCCATGGAGGGGCCTGCCTCGTTGGAAGACAACCGTTTGAAGATCCTGAAGCGTGCCACAACATTGTTCCCGGGATTCCAACGCCACATATCAACCTGAGTGCTGCGTCCTGACGACCCAGAACCGTGCCAGAAAGCCAATGGTTGGGACTTCAACACAGCAAATCAACATAAGTGTTGCGCCCGCATAATTTTTAATCCTTCCGAAACGCCATTTCTGGTACGCTGATCATGTAAATCCGTGAAGCCCTTGCAATTGGTTAAGACGAATGCACGCGGCGCTAGGGCGAGAGCCACATTTCGACCCCCCCCCCGCCCTCAATCCATGAAATTCTTGCAATGTTTGAAAACGAATGTGCGCGGCGTTAATGCGGGAACCACATTTTGAAAACCACCCGCCCTCAATCCGTGAACCTCTCGCAATTATGTTTAAACGAATGTGCGCGGCGCTGAGGCGAGAGCCACATTTTGAAAACGGCCCACCCCCCATCTGTGAAACTGTTGTCACTGTCTAAGCTTCAGAATCATAAACTGTGAGGAAGTCTCAGGCGAAACGCCCGGCCCGCCCAAAAGACTTGCCTCGGGGTGCGGCAAGGAGAAATTATTTATAAGGAGAAGGAATGGAGGCGGAGGAGGAGGAGGAGGAGGAGGAGGAGGAGGAGGAGGAGGAAGAGGCGGAGGAGGAGGAGGTGGAGGGAGGAGGAGGAGGCGGAGGAGGAGGCCCCTCCGCCTTAGAGAAGCCAGAACCTCGAGGCAGAGACTCGGCCTCTCGCCGGGGGAGGCTAGACGACGACAAAGCACCCCCGGCCCCCCCCCCCCCAGCTGAAGCTCAGACTGTGTCCTGTGGCTCACCAAACCCTCCCCCTCCTCCCGGAGAAGGAACACCGGCAGAAGCAGAAACTGTTGGCGCCCCGCGCGGAGTTCTCGGCTCCGCGCTGGGCCCCCCTCCCTGGCGCGCGGGGCGCGCCAGGGGCGGCGCCGGAGGCGCCGCTTGGGGGGGGCCCAGCACGGATGCAAGAAATCCGCGCGGACCTCCAAAAGTTCTTCGGGGGGAGGGGGAGGGTTTGGGTGAGCCTTCGATCGGCGGCGAGCGAGGGGGGGAATCGAGGCGGAGGCCTTCTCAAAGGCTCGGAAGTCCTCCGGCCGGGGCCTTCTGCGAAGCTGTCTGAGCCTTCCCTGGAGACGTAAGAAAACCTCGCCTCAGAAGGCCGGAGGACTTCTGCGATTACCAGCCTGGAACATACCCCTATCCCTATGCTGGGCATCTCCTCATCACGATGCCAAAATTAGGGATTCCCTTAATTTTTCAGGGCGAATGCATAAGATTGTCATCGCCTTTTGGCGTGTCAATCTTAGGGATAGGGATAAGTTCGAGGCTGGTGATGAGAAGCCCCGCCGCCTTCTGAGAAGGCCTTCTCCTTCTCGCTTCCCCCCCTCGCTCGCTCGCCGCCAGTTCATGGGAGCCTCGGTGCACCTCCGCGGCCCTATCATGAATGTGATTTCGACCAGACCTCGTCCGGATCTCGACCACACGTGTTCGCCCTCTCGTCCAGACCTTGTCCAGATGTCGGCGAGATCTGGGCGGACTTCCCCTCAGACGCAAGAGGCTCCCATGAAGGACCGCACAGAGGGAGGAGGCAGGGACACGACGAAGCCAGGACGAGGAGGATCAGTTCGGGGGAGGATCGATCCAAACTCCGCCGACCTGGCGTGGGAGCTCCCGAGAGCCCGAGCTACAGCCTGCAGTTCGAGCTTCGGCTTTGCCTTGGGGGGGGGAGGGGCGGGGGGGCTCTGCCACGGAAGGGTGGGGGCGGGGCTGGGACACGTAAAAGTCCACAAAATTCCCACCCTGGGTGCCAGAAGGCCCAAGGTGGCCGCCAGACATTTCCCGGACGGCTCAAGACTCAAGATGCACCCCAGGTAGCCCAGGGTGCCCTCCAAACAAGGCCCGACGAGGCCCAAATCATTGATCTTCTAAATGCTTTGGAAGAATTTGGCGCTGCATTATTTTCGGCCTTCCGACGGCCCCAGAGGCCCCACGATCGCCCTAGAGGCCTCCAAGATGACCCCGTGACGGCCCAAGAGGCTCCAAAGACGGCCCCAAGAGGTCCCAAGACGGCCCCATAGGCCCCTAAGACGGCCAAGATAGCCTCCAAGACGTCCCTGAAGCGCCCCCCAGAGTGCTCCCAGACGGCACAGCGAGGCGCCCAAGACGGCGTCCGACGGGCCACGAACGCCCAAAGACAGCCCAAAAGACTTCCAAGAAGCCCCCAAGAGGCTCCTCCCACGACGGCCCCAAGACGGCCTCAAGACGGCCCCATGGGCCTCCAAGCGAACCCGAACACCATCAGGAGCGCCCCGGATCGGCGGCACTGGCCAGAGGCCACCACAATACCTGGGACCTGGCAGCTCTGGAAGATGCCTCGGGCGCCGCGGCCTCCTGCCCTGAGAGCGCTCCCGAGCTCTCCGAGAGCGTTCCGGAGCGGATCGATCCTCGCCTTTCGCATCCCCCTCGAAGCGAGAAGCAAGCTCTTCCCGCGACGTGGCGGCGCCCCGTGGCCCCACAAATTCCATCTTCGGGCCGAGCCAGCCGACTGCAGACACACGAATCTGCCTCCGCGGGCCGCGCCTCGCCCGTCGATCACTGTTCAAAACTTGCGCCATGCTGCTCCCATCGCACTTCAGGAGGAGGAGGAGCAGGAGCAGGAGCAGGAGCAGGAGCAGGAGAAGGAGGAGGAGGAGGATAAGGAGGAGGCACTCAAGGACCTCGTCCCGGGAAGAACTCCGAGCACCCCGACCGCCTCCCAGGGCCCTGCCCGTGAAAACCCTTTTCGGCCTCGGCACCTCCTCGGTGCTCGGAATTCTTTCTGGCTGTCCAGGCCAAAGTAGGCTGGGCAGACACCGGGCCGGCTCGGCTCGTCGGAGCAGCGGGAGCGAGTCGGATCGGGGCGGCCGAAGTCGACGCGCCTGGAGGCCACGCTGAAGGCGGTGCTGTTCAACGGCGATGTCAGGGAATCCAGTTTTTGCGACTCCGAACCCTCGCAGAGCAACATGTAGGAAACGCACGAACAAATGCTTTCCTACAATCGGGTGGGCCTCCGCCTCTGCCTCCACATCCACCGCATCGTTCCTGCTCCCTCTCCCACTCCCGCCCCAGACTTCCAGTGCGCACGCCAATGCAACTTCTGCTGCACCCTGATGAGGGTAACCCGAAAACCGTGGAACACCTTGCAACCAGTACAGCTAAGTTCCGAGGACAACAAAACAACGATAGAACGTGCGATTCGATATATATATATATATAGCAATGATATGGAGGCAACTCCGCAGACCTAACACGAAAGCAAGATCGAGACAACATCTGACCGATACGAGCCGGAAATCTCTGAGAATCGGCGGGTTTGGAAGATAGATGTATCAGGCGCTGCGGCCGTTTTTCAGAGCGTTCCGGCGGCCCGGAACGTTCTGGAACGGATGTATCTCGATTCTCAGCCCGTTCGAAGACCTCCCTGATCCCTCGATTACGACATTCGTCGGCTCGTGACCCATGCGGGGAGCGAGCGTCAATATCAAACCTGGCCCAGTCTCCACCCTCCGCCGCCAACTCCAAGCGGATGGCCTTGGGGAGCCTCAGCACCGTGCCCTGCCACGCGCTGCGCCGGCCCGAGTAGGTGCAGAGAACCATGTCCTGCCCCAGCACGGGCGCGAGCACGGCAGGAGAGAGTGTGACGGGGGAGAAGGCACAGAAGATAGCACACCACTTCGGAAGCTCCAAAATCGAATGACATCATGGCCCGAATGTGGTGTTGGAGCGGGGGCATGCGGAGAGATGGGGAATGGGGGAACAGGAGGAAAAGGAGGGGGAGGAGGAGGAGGTCGAGGTGGAGGAGGAGGAGAAGGAGGAGGAGGGCCATGATGATGATGGTGATGGCGATGATGATGCTGTTGATGTTGATGTTGATGTTGATGCTGATGCTGCTGATGATGATGATGATGATGATGATGATGATGATGATGCGGCTGATGATGATGATGATGATGATGATGATGATGACGATGGTGATGATGAGGATGATGATGATAATGATGATCAGATCAAAACCCATCGGAGGCGGCACCGTCCATCCCACGCTCTCGAATGCCTCTAGGATCGGGCTACACCCGGGCTTCAGTTTGCGATGCGCGACCGTGCATCTCGCGACTGGCAACTGTTCACAGTCGCTGTCGCAGTGCACCCAGCAAAAAAACGAAGAACCGCGCCCTGGCCGGCCGTGCTCCATCCCGCGGAAAACCTCGAGCCACGCTGGGCCCTGTCCGAAACGACGGTCCTCGAAACAGCTCGGACCTCTGGCGCCGAATGATACCTCTGCTGAGCCCCAGGGAATCTCGAATTCCGAACTCTGGCCTCCCAGGAATTCCGTGACACATTCGGAGAAGGGGGGACACGCGAGGAAGGGAGGTGGTCGAAGGGCAGAAGAGGGGTGGGGGTCTCCCGGGTACTCTGGGCGGGTTGGCACAGCCTGCCCACGATGGCAGCATGGTGCTGCCATTTCACTTCTGGCAACTCCTCCACCCCCTGTAGGGCCCTTAGTCGTACGTCGTCCCCTCGAGATTCTAGAGCCCTGTGTGGAGGAGGCGATCCACGTGGCCCATCGGGGCCACGCCCTGCTTATACTCCGCCCCCGCCTGGATCAGGGTCCAGCACGGGCGCCATGTTCAGCCTCCCTCCAAACGCTACAATCAACGTCACCTTGCCCTTCTCGTAGCAGTCAGTGAATTTCACCAGTGGAACTGCCTCGCCCATCGGCTACTGTCAGTTTGGCCTGCTCTGTCGTCAAGGTCTCTAGGTTCTGCTGGTTCACGCGCCCCGCCGCGTTTCCCTCGGCCTGCAACCCCTCGAACACCCCCGCGTAGCACGCCGCCGATATCGTTCCCATCTTGCTTTTGTTTTCGTCGCTCTGCTGCTTGCTGTGGTTGACCCTGCTGTCTTCTGCTGCCCGAATCCAAGCTCGTACTTTCCCTCGCGCCTTGACCTTTGGCTGCAGTCCCATGACATGATGAACGTCCTCAGCTCCATCGACTCGATCTGGCGCTGTCGATGGGCCCGGTTCAGCAGCAGCCGCATCATCGCAGGGAAAACTTCTGCATCGTGCTCACGTCGATCTCGCAGTCGTCGAGCTCGCTCAGGTCCACAATCTTGGTGCCCTTCTTCCTCAGCTTATGCTCCTGCAGTCATTTGCCGCTTGAGCCGTCGGCCACGCCCGCTGAGCCCTTGCGACCACCTCTGGCCGTCTTCCGCGGGCGGTGCTCGGCGTCGCCCGCGCTGATGTCAGGCGCGCCCTGCATGCGCGACATTCGGCCGAGACAGCGGCATGTGCAGGTTGCAGATCTGCTCGTGGAGCGACGGGGGTTATCCAAACTTCTCTCCACAATCTGTCTCGAGGCATTCAAACAGCAGCGGAGGGGTCACTTGACGATTGTAGACAGAAAAATCTGCGATGCCGTCCGCGCACGCGGGCTCCCGCCACATGGCCAATGGCAGTGCGGCGACAGGCGAACGTCGACACGCGCGATGGGGCACTGATTAGCCACAATCAGTCGCGTAAAGAAGTTCAGCTTGACGCGCTCTCCTCCTCCCGCGTGGGTCCGACGTGCTCTGGGTGCCCAAGTCGTTCGGAATTTGCGGTTGCACCCCTGCCCCTCCCCATCTATCAGAACACAGGGGGCCGCCCACGAGCCGCTCCTGGTTCGCGCGCTGCCGTGCCGGGTTGACAGTGGGGCTCTCGAGCCAGATCTGTCGAAGTTTCGCAGCGTCGGGAAACCTCCTCGTCAGCTCGGGAACCAGGAAGACCCTCGCGCAGTCGTCTCCTACGTCCTCCAGGGAATCCAAGCCCTCGCTGAGCTCCCCAAGGGAAACATGTCGTTCTTGAGTTGCAGGGCCCAGGGCCTCGCGCGGCCCGCGGTGGCCACGAGCGAGGCGGCCACTGGCGCCCAGGAAACAAATCATAACATCGACGTTCTCGAACGCAACCTCCCCGAGCACAGCCGCCAGCTCTTGAACGCGCCGCCGGGGTCGGCGGGCGAGAGCCTGAAAGTGGCAAACCCGTCCGATATGCAACTCGACGCCCGGGGGGGGGGGGCATCTTTATCTGCTCCCAGACGGCTTCCACGCACGCACTGTCGTAACCTTCCATCGATATTCCTTTCCCTCCTCGGTGGGTAGTTGTCGGCGCATAGCGACTCCGTTGTCGGCGCATGGCGGACCTAGCGGAGACCGCGTCGAACCGCTTGGTCTGCCCTATCGCCAAGGCCCCCGCCTCGAGGCTCGCCAGCGACGCGCCCAGGATGCGAGCCCGAGACGCCAATCGCCTCCGAGAGAAACGCTGACACGTCTTCCAGGACTTCCCCATGCCCCGCCACCCCACTCGAATCGCCGCACACCGTGCACGGATCTCCTCGTCGTTCCTTCCCGAGGTCTGCGCGTGGGCTCCCAGGAATGCTGAAGTGGCCTGGGCTTCCCCAGAGATGGGGACTTCGTGGTAGCGCCGGGCTCTGGAGGACCCCTGAGACCCACGACCTACGAAACAAGGACTGACAGCTTTTTCTCTCGGCTCTGGGCAAGGCCAACTCGCCCCAGAGCAGCGTCGAGATGCCGATCGGGAACGTCAACCCGCTGGGCTGCGCTGCGCGCATCTGGGACGATGCGTGCACACGCGAGGTCGTCGGCATACTTCCTCACTCTCAGATCGCAAGTCTCTCCAATAACTACGCGCCCTGCTATCATCTCGTGCACCTTCTCCGTCGGAATTGGGTTGCGTCGCCGCTCGCCTGTCGGGGCCCCGAAGGCCAGTCGGAAGTCGGAACTTTGCTGCGGAATCGCCGCCCATGTAATATCACGTGCCGTTCCGGAGCGCTCCCGTGCCATCGCACGCCCTGACCACGCATGCCGTGTTGCGGTGTCTAGCCATCATGATGTCTACGTCCTCGTGCTGAGACATTTCGTGGATCGTGCGGTCCAGGTGCTGGTGGCTGACGCTGGCGAACGCGCTCGTCATGTCATCATTGGTCGCGGTGTGGCTCAAACCTGCCGCGCGTTGTCTCCACTGCAAGACATTGCCAACAGTCAATGCTCCCACGCGTGACCGTCCCTGCACATAGCCGCGATCCTCCGCTGGCGGTTGTAGTCCTGCTCGCGGTTTCCGTGCGCCCACCCACGTCTTTCCAAAACTGCATAGTCCGTGTAGAACATGATCCCGCGTGTCCATGGATTGTTGTTCATCTTACTCACCTGGTATGTTTGCGACAGGTTCCACCATGCGTTGAGCCGCTGGTGTCGTCGTATCCCTGCGAGTTGGGCCAACAGAAACTCCTGAAGTGGTGGTCCCCACCTGTGGCCGTTCTTCGTCTGATCGTCGCGGTACCCAGCGTGCTAATAGTAGACGCCACACCTCCGCCGACATAGACCATGGCGGCGCAGACCGTCAACGTCGTCCTCAGCCCAGCTGGTGCGTGACTCTGGCCAGGTCGTGGTTGGCTAGCTCCCAGTGCCCCATGTCGGGGTGGAAAGGGTAGTCGTGAGCCGAAGCGTCGTGGATCAAGCCTTCGGTGGTGGTCATTGTCGCTTCCATTCCCCCGTCCCTCCCAGGCGGGGCCAGGTCCTCCGTCCACGTCTGTAGGTCGAGGCGGAGGTCGGGCAGTACGTAGTGGTTCCTCTTGCGTGGTCCCAGCCCGTTCTCAGCCATCTGAAAACTGATGCGCCACGCCACGTCCTCTCTGTTGGTGCGGATGGTCTCCTCCAGCTCTTGGTTGAGTTCTCGTTCTCGTGCCTTCTTGATATCCGTCCTGGCCTGCTTGCGTCGTCGTGTGCACTGTCGTAGTCGTGGTATGCTGTCCAGCTCACCATCCATCGCGTCCCGTGCTGTAGTGCGCTGCCGTAGTGCCTCCTCCCGTTCTTCTGCTAGTCGTACATGCCCCTCTGGCCTGTGTCGTCGCATTGCCGTACTGTTGTTGTGCTCGCTGCTGGGTCGTAGTCGCAATGGCTTCCCATGCTGACTCCAACGTGTGCTGCCGCATCCACGCGTCCACCTCCAAGTACCCGTCGTCCCGTAGTCGTTGTGCCAGGGCTGTCTCCACATCATCGCGTAACTGTTGTGTGTCATCAGCATCACGCATCGCACGGCTGAAAGAGTCGTAGTCCCGTGTGTAGGTGATGTTTGGCGGAGCGCTGTATGTCATCGTGTAATCCATATCCACCACGATAAGCCTGTGATCTAGAACAGCCACGCGTGGTATAGCTCGAACTCGTTGCGTGAGGTTATAGGCTGCCGCGCACTTGTGTATTCTCCCCATCCAGGGTGCAGATATCACCAAGTGGTCTATGTAGCTGCAGCTCCTATGTGCGCAATACGTGGGCCCGCACGGATACTTACTCGCAGCTGAGGCCAGCAGATTGTCTTGCACCCACTCCCTAAACAATGTACCCGCCTGATGTTCCTGACTGCGTCCGTGTGGCCCCAAGCTGGGGATATCCACTACTTTCACCAACCCGTCAATACTCCTGATGCCCAAGCCGTCGTTGAAGCCAATCGCCGCTATGGTGGTAGATCTGTTCGGGGTCCCTCCTGATATGCTCTGGAGTAGTTCCGTCATCTGTCGTGCCGTCGCCTCGTACCTTGGGATCCCCTTCGCGTCCGCACATCGTGGTGGAAAATAAACAACTGTAAACATGACATCGTGCTGGCTGGAACGTACCCTAACCGCTCCTAGTCGTCCTTGCAGAATTGGGGGGACCGTCCAGAAATGTACCAGCTGGTTCTTGCGAAACCGCCTGCGGTTCCGCCAAATCTCCACGCCACATGACTTGTTCACCATCGTACCGCGTGTTCCGCCCCATCCAAGCTTTATCATGATGAATTGTTCGTGCAGTGCCACGTCATAAGGCGCAGGAGCATCTCGTTGCTCTTCGCCGTCGTACCTGCAGGCAGGGCCACATCTGCGAGGCGTAGCTGTTGCGCCACCTCGAGGTGCCTATCGTAGTCGCTGGGAGGGAGAGAGAAAGAGAGAGAGAGAGAGAAAGAGAGAGAAAACAAAAAAAGGGAGAGAGAGAGAGAGAGAAAAGGAGAGAGAGAGAGAGAGTGAAGGAGAGAGAGAGAGGGCTCCATTGCGCAGTCTTCATGTGGGCGGTCGCACATCGCAGCGCCGATGAGAGGTGAAACAGGACGGCTGCTGCAGAACTGGCCCTCGTGCCCTAGGACCTCGGGCCAGGGCCTGACAATGATGGTGACGATGATGATGATGATGATGATGATGATGATGATGATGATGATGATGATGATGATGATGATGATGATGATGAGGAGGAGGAGGAGGAGGAGGAGGAGGAGGAGGGAGGAGAGGAGGAGGAGGGGAGGGAGGAGGAGGAGGAGGAGGAGGAGGAGGACGAGGAGGAGGAGGAGGAGGAGGAGGGAGGAGGAGGAGGAGAGAGGAGGAGGAGGAGAGAGGAGGAGGAGGAGGAGGAGGAGGAGGAGGAGGATGAGGAGGAGGAGGAGGAGGAGGAGGAGGAGGAGGAGGAGGAGGAGGAGGAGGAGGAGGAGGAGGAGGAGGGGAGAGGAAGGGGAGCACGAGGAACGGGGGAGCATGAGGAAGGCCCGCCCCGGAATGGCAAGCTTCGGTGGTAGCGAGAGTGCCCCGAATTCGTCGTAACGTCGGCTTCCTGCGAGCTCTGGACCAGGAAGAATATCCCGAATTCGTCGTGACGCCGGCTCCTGGTCAGCCGAGGGCCATGATACCCCGAACTCGTCATAACCCAGTTCTCTGCCAGAGCTGTTTGAGAAGCATGTGATGCCCTTGCGCACGTTCATGGCGTCCGTAACCTTTAGGCTCGGGAGCTCTCTTTTTGAGCACAGCGTGCACAGCGGAGGGGAACTTAAGACTTGCCTGTGTCACCACTCCGTGAACGAGCCGAGGAAGAAGGTACAAGCAAAGGGGAGGCCCCAGCCGACCGCGTCCTGCCCCTCGCAGGCGTAGGTCAGCTCGTCCGGGCGCAGTCGCGCCTGTGAGCGCGGGGGGGCCCGAGCGAGGGAAGTCGGAAGAGGCAAAGGAGGAGGGAGAGCAGGAGGGAAAGCAGGAGGAGGAGGAGGACGACGACTGATTCGAGAATGATTGCGGGTTCGAAGGTGTCCTCGGGCATTCTACAAGAAATGTCTGAGGAGAGAAACGCGTAGATCAGGAGGCCAGGAGGCGAAGGAGGAACAGGATAATCAGACTGGGCAGGATGTGAGGGATGAGGGGGAGGAGGGGAAGGAGGACCAGAAGGAGGAAGAGGTGGAAGAGAAGGAGGCAATGGTGGAGGATAAAGAGCAGGATGTGAGGGATGAAGGGGAGGAGGGGGAGGAGGAGAAAAAGGAGGAAGAAGCGGAAGAAGGGGAGGCAGGGAGGCAATGGCGAGTATGACGACGAGGATAAATGAGTTCCCATGGAGAAGGGGAGTAGGGCGAGGACCGAGCGTCACCCGAATAAGCCAGGATGGAAAAGGGGTAGAAGGAGGAGGATGAGAAGAAGGAGGAGAAGGAACAGAAGCAGAAGCAGGAGGAGGAGGAGGAGGAAAGGGAGGAGGGGGAGGAGGAGGGGAAGGAAAGGAGAGGAGGGAGGGAGAGGGGAGGAGGAAGGAGGAGGAGGGAGGAGGAGGAGGAGGAGGAGGAGGAGGAGGAGGAAGGAGGAGGAGGAGGAGAGGAGGAGGGGAGGAGGAGGAGGAGGAAGAGGAACAAGGAGGAGGAGGCGAAGGAGGAGGAGGCGAAGAAGGAGGAGGATCCGCGAGCTTCCGACCGCGCTGTCGAGCGGTCGGGCGGCCCGCACGCGCCCCAGCGCGCGGGGCCAGGGCCATGAGGGCCCGCACGAGCTCGTCGAGGCCGACCGCGACGAGCAGCAGCAGTGGCCGCCGCCGAGGGCGCACGCGGGAATGTGGGGCCACCTCCCCCCGCGCGCGCCTCAGGGCAGCGGCCCGTCCAGGACGCCGCCGACGAGCTCCGCGCCGTCGTCCTCGAAGCCGTGGCCGCCGAGCTGCGCGATCTTGACGGCCACTCGGCCGGCGGCGCCTGGCGCGAAGCCCTTGGCGAGGCGGGCAATCGCCAGCTTGCCCTTTGCTCCAGGCCCCCCGCAGGCGCGGGCAAAAGACGAACTCCTCGCCGCGCCCGTGGCCCCGCAGACGAGGCAGGCCAGCAGCGGCATTTCGCGCTGCAGCTGGGCCTCGACCTGCGGCTCGATCTCCACGATCACGTGCGCCAGCGCGCCCTGTGCCCGCAGCCTCTTATTGTGGCCCAGGGCGGACGTCACAATCGAGCCAGGGCACTCGCTGGCGCGCTCCAACCAGCGGCACCTGCTGCACCATCGCGCCCCGGGCGGCCCACGGAGGTCGCAGCCTAGCCTGGCAGCCGCGGGCTGCAGCGCTGCTCGCGGGGCCGCCTTGTCGGGCTTCGCCGCGCGGTGGGCGGTGTCGTCCCCGCCCACGGCTGCCCCAACAGCGGAGACCCACATGGCTACGCCCTCGACCAGCTCCCGCGCCGACTGCAGGCGTTGGCGGGCCTCGGGCGCGACTCTCGCGCGCTCGGCCGCGCGCTTCGCGGCCTGGTCAGCGACGCAGTTGCCGATCCAGTCGCGAACGGTGATGACGCCGTCATCGATCACTCGGCGGCGCGAGACGTGCGCAGGGACCTTCTTGAGGGTCAGGCCCTGCGGCCCTATTCCCCCGAAGTCCTCGACGAGCCGCCAGAGCTCGCGCCAGAGGTGGGCCCACGCGTAGCCCCAGCGCGTCGTGCACAGCGGCCCGTGCTCCAGCACACCCTTGAACACGAAGTCGGAGTCGACGATGGCCCTGACGGGCGGCGCGGCATGGCGCAGCGTGCCGATGAGCGCAGCCAACTCGCCGCCGTTGATATCGGCGAAGGGCTCGCGCAGCGTGCCCGAGATGCCAGTGCGGAAGGCGCCCGCGCCCTCCTGCAACACCACCGCAGCCCAGCCGACGCTCGTGTACTGCTGGAAGTCGCCCTCGTAGGCGGAGCCGCCCAGGTACACGTCGCCAGACGGCAGCGCGCCGCCAACGTCTTGGCCCAGCCAGCTGAGCCCAGGAGGCCGAGGCGGCTTGATGATGCCACGGGGCGCAGGCCACAGCACGCGCTCCAGCAGGCACTCCACCTCCACGAGCTCGGCCCTGCCCGCCAGCTCGCGGATCTTACTGGGCAGCCGCAGCTCCGGCGGCCGTCCACTGCAGCACGTGTGCCTGCGCAGCAGCGTGCCGACGTCGCCGCACAGCAAGCACTTGTCGTCCGCAGCGTAGCCGCCCAGGTACTTTCGGCGCTGTGACCACTGGCCGCCCACGATGACCGAGGCGAGGTATCCGCACTCCTTGGGCGCAAGACGGATCGCCTTAGCCTTCTGAGCAGGCGTCGCACCACAGGCAGCGGGTGTGGGTCCCGTAGCTCCTCGAGGCGCGCCACTCGGGGGAGCAGCGTCATTAAGGGCAGCATCCGCCAGCCCACCCTGAGGAGCCGTCGACACACCTTGCCGTGGAGGCACGACGCTTGGGCAGGCACCAACCCCAGCGTCGCCAGCAGACAGCCCAGGTCCGAGCGGTGCTCCGCCTTCTGGGTCTGGCCGCGGCGGGGGGTCAGGCGCCGCCTGGCCGAGCAGGTCGTTGATGAGGTCACCCCATCCGTCTCCAGCTTCAGCGCGCGCAGCTTGTAGAGTAGCGGCGCTCGCCTCCACCGCGATCAGGTAGCCAGCCCCGAGCGCGCTAGCCAGAGCTGGGACTGAGCGGCCACACGCAGCAGAGCCAGCCTCAACGCCATGCCGCGCGACGCCGCCACGAGCTGCCTCCTCTCCCGAAGGCAGCGCCGCAACCTCAGGAGGCACAGCAGGTCGAACGACAGGTCGAGGAGCGGCGGCATCAGCATCACCGTCGACGTAGTCCACCTGTCGGCCGAAGAAGCCCTTGCGCTGCACCGCCCCCGCGTTGGTGAGCCTGACGATGGGCTCGAGGATGCCCCCATCAGCCAGATGGGCGAGTCCAGGCCGCTGCCCGACCTGTCGCCACTGCCACGCCTCCACCGCCATCCAGAGCAGGCGCTTGACGACCCAGGGCGAGGTCTCGAAGATGCAGAGGCTGTCGCCGCAGTGCGTGAGCCAGGTGCTGCCGTCGACGATCTGCCAGCCCACGCGCTCGAGGGAGAGCCTGACCGCGGAGAAGGGCCCCTTCACCTGGCACCAGCTCATGGCCGCACACTGGGCCAGGCCATACTTGAGCACGTGCTTCGGCACCCAGCACTCCCAGACCGCGCGCAGCATCGCCATCACTGGGGCCAGCGTCGCGCGGTAGACAGGGTCGAGGAAGGGCGTGAGCATGAGCGTGAGGGTCCGCGAGCGCCCCGTCACGCTCGGCGCCACGGCCGTGAAGATGAGCGTGCGCAGCTTGTCGAGCTCCATGGTGGCGCAGCCCGTGACGGAGAAGCCGTAGGAGACGGACGCCTCGAGCCCGCTGCGCGCCACCTTGCGGACTGCCAGCTTGCGCCCGACGCCTGTCTTCAAGATAGCCACGCGCCTGAGCCTCAACCCAGCGAGCACCATCTTGTCGCCGCGGACTTTCCTCACAACCCTGCGGCCGCAAGGGAAGTCGACTCCAAGATTGCGCTCGCCCTTGACCGACACCATGCCGAGCGGCCGCTTGAGCTTCGCAGCGACGGCGTGCCTGACGTCGGGCACGTTGGCGAGCACGCGGGACTTGGAGAGCGCCACGTTGAGGTCGACCTCCGTCAAGAGCGTCTTGAGCTTGAAGGCCGCCTCCGCCACCTCCTTCGTGACACGCACGGCGCCGCCGAACCTGTGCAGCATGAGGTCGTCCACGACCACCGCCAACTGCAACGTTGGGTGCTGCTCGACCAGCCTGTCCAGCGGCCCGATCAACATCAGCTTGAGCAGGGTGGTGGCGAAGCCGTCACCTGGCAGGATCGCCTGCCGAGCCTCGATCACGTCGGAGTGCGCGCTGCCCAATGCGAGCACCCTAGGCGCGCAGTACAGCTCCACCTGAAGCTTGAGCTGCCACAGCGGGAAGCCAGTGCGCACCGCGGCGTCCAGCAACCAGTGGTGCCTGACCTGCTCGAAGGCCTTCAGCAGGTCGAGCAGGACGGCCGCCGCCACCCAGCGCTTCTCGTCGCCGCAGTCCTGTCCACGCTGCGTGGCCCACTCGCCAATAGCAGCCTGGTGCCAGACCGCTCGCTCGCAGCTGCGCCCCGCCGAGGCCCACCAGTAGCTGCGCGCATTCTGCACCTCCCACTCGCGTGCGATGTCACGACGCAGCCGGGCTTGCAGGAGGAGGAGGAGGAGGAGGACGAGGAGGAGGAGGAGGAGGAGGAAGACGAGGAGGGGGAGGAGGAGGAGGAGGAGGAGGAGGAGGAGGAGGAGGAGGAGGAGGAGGAGGAGGAGGAGGAGGAGGAGGAGGAGAGGAAGGAGGAGGAGGAGGAAGGGGAAGAAGAGCAGGAAGAGCAGGAGGAGGACACGAACGGACGCATCAGCCGGAACAGCAACAGAAGGACGAGCAACAGCAGCAAGAACGTCATCGGGAAGACGCGCCGCGGCTGGCAGGCGAGGAAGCGCTGGAGAGCCCTGAGATCTAAGCATCGCATTTGCGCGCCAAACCCGGCGTTGTTGCTGATGGGTCGGATCGCAGGCCCCTCGTAGACAGATCGATCCGGCTTCAGACATGCCGCAGAAAGATAGGGCTAGGGCTCCGGGTCGTGATTGTTGGCGACGCCGCCATTTGTTCGCGACGTCGGATCTCAAGAAGCGTAGCCACGCATGCGGCTTAGGGGCTCCTGTCGGGACCTGCCTCTCCGCCGAAACGGCTCGACCGTGGCAGACAAGTGGCCCTCCAGACTTCTAAGACTAGCGCGCGCCGGAGTCGTCGGGGACTGGACGGGCATCCGTCCCCTACCTGTACGTAGTGGCGACGGTGACGGTTACAATGCAACGCAAGAGTGCCCACGCGAATGGACTACGTAAGCGG